TTGGTTAACAGTGACCATAAATGTAGAAGATGACTCAATGTCTTGCCGCATATGTCAATCACAATATCCGATTCTCTATCACAGAAGTAGCTTTTCTCTTTAATCACATTGATTTCCTTAAAGACTATAGAATAGACAAGTCATCATCTTGCATCCATAGAATGGTTCTTGGTAGATCCATTCTGTAGGTTGTACTGTTATACTCTGAAGAGATTCATGCTGTAGTAATGGGTTGTGTGTTCTCAAAGCACTTGGGATAATGTGTAAAATTTGTCAGTAGAATTGCATATTGTGTGGGATGCCAAACTTATAAAACCAACCCATTTCTAACCTTCTGAAGTAAAGATTCTGAATATTCCCTTTTGAACTAAAGAGTAAGAAAGTTAAATCGGTTAGATTTCTCTTAGGGTAACAAGTATGCATGCCTTTAAATGTGCATAATATGTTGAAAATATGCAATAATACAATGTATAGAAGTCATTCTCCAACTTTTAATATCCAATCCTCACATAGATATATAAATATATCTAGATATATTTAAAAGAAATTAAGTGGGAACAAAAACTAGCATATTTATGTCCAATAAAGATTATCAAATAGTTAAGAGCAAGATCAGATATATTTCTCAGTCTTAACCTAATTTACTAATGTCTGAAATTTGGAAAAGAAAATGTATGCAGAATCTTTTCTACAATTTCTTTTTTAGTATTGTTTTATTATTTTAAGTTGAGCATTAAGTCAGTACAATCTACTGTGGACCACAAAATATTTTCACTTAATTTACTCCTGTTTGTGGTCAGATTTTGGCCTACAATCTTATTTCTTTGGTATTTCCAATATATTTAATATTAGAAATAGTACTGGTTCAAACAAAAACAAATCAACCAATCAGTCAAACATTGGTAAAGAGTTTACATTTAACAGTTTTCAGAGGAAAACCATTATGGTTATCACTGGGTCCCCAAATCATTGTTAATTAGAACTTGTCACACAAAAAAAATTCAGTTTGAAAAAATATTTCATGGTTTTATGAAGCATCACTGAATAAGCCCACAATACCAAGTGTTTCAAGTAAATGCCACTGTCCTGTTACAAAGCCAGGGACTCTCTAATACTGATGATTTCATTGGAATAGTTATTAGATTACTGACACAAAATTAGCTGCCTTAAAAGTATGAGTCCCAATGCATAGATCAGGGTTTAGTGAAAATAGTATACATAAGGGCTCACAAGCATTCATAGCTCGAGTTCAAATCTCTTGGAATTCAAGTCATGTATGGTTGTGAACCAGCATGAACTGAACCCAGGACCTCTGCATGAGCAGCAAGTTCTCTTAACCACTGAGCCAACTCTCCAGCCCCATTGAGTTTATTTTATATTAGCGACCTTTTCCACATGAAGAGTTTGAAATTGTGAATGCCGGGAGCTCTCTTTGACATTTTCAGTCTAGTAGAACAAGTTTAAGCGAGAAGTTTTAGCTTCATTTTCCATTCACTTAATTTCAATTTACTTTCAAGAGAAATGCCTAGATTTAGATAAAAGAATGATAAACCTAATGAATATTTTATGCATTCTGTTTATTTTGTACAGTCTGACCACCCCGCCTCTCTCTTTTCTACACTCCCCCCCCCCCCCCCCCCGGCCCATCCACTTTTCCTCTATTTCTCTTCAGAAAAGGCAGGCCTCCCATGGATAGCAAAAAAGGATGGCATATCGAATTGCAGTAATACTAGTCTGGATGAGACAGCACAGTAGGATAAAAATGGTCCCAAAAGCAGGCAGAAGAGTCAGAGACAACCACCACTCCCACTGTTAGGAGTCCTGTAAGAAGACAAAGCTACCCAACTATAACATATACAAAAGGCCTAGGTCAGGCCCATAGAGGCTCCCTAGTTGCTGATTCAATCTGTGTGAGCCCCTCATGGGCTAATATTAGTTGATTCTGTAGGTTTTCTTGTGGTGTACTTGACCCCTCTGGCTCTTACAATTCTTCCTTCCACACTTCTGTAGGATTCCTGAGCTCTGCCTAATGTTTGACTGTGTACACTGCATCTGTCTACACCAATTGCTGGATGAAGCCTCTCTGATGGTGGTTTTGTTAGACTCCTATGGACCAGTATTACAGAATATTATTAGGAATCATTTCACTGACTTTATTATCTATCTATAATCCATCTATCTATCTATCTATCTATCTATCTATCTATCTATCTATCTGTCTGTCTGTCTGTGTTTGGTTCTAGTCTAGATCTCTGGGCTATCTCGTCTCTGTTTTCTAGTCTTCTAGACAGTGACATGGGTAGGGTCCCTCTCATGGCATGGATCTCAAGCTAGACAAGTCGTTGGTTGGCCACTCTAATGATTTCTGTGCCACTTTTACCCCATAATATCTTGTAGGCAGGACAAATTATAGTTTGAAAGTTTTGTGTCTGAGTTGGTGTCCCAGTCCCCACACTGGAAGCCTGGCCTGATTACAGGAGGTAACCAGAGCAGGCTTTATATCCTCCATTGCTAGGAGTCTAAGCTAGGATCATCCTTGTAGATTCTGGGGAGTATTCATTGTATTAGGAATGCCTGAGATGTCCCTCAGTTCCAGTTGTTTCTCTCAGTGCACTGTACTTCTGTCCTTCCCCAACCTGATCTCTCCTGTTCCCATCCCCCACCCTCACCACTGTCTACCATTGATGGCTATTCTGTTTCCCCTTCCCAGGAAGATTCTTGTGTCTTCCTCTTGAGTTCTTCTTGTAAACCAAATGAGTTTAAAACCATAGCCAGCAATGGTTGTTGTGAACTTAGGGTATTTGTTTAGTTAGGGAACATGTAGAACTGAGAAATCTTTGTAAATCTTTGTAATTGACACTTCTCTATAAACATGGTCTTTTCTCTTAAGCACATCTTTGTGCTCATCAGGCGTGTCATCATTAGAGATAATGGATCTACATAGTTATGACTTCACAGCTGTTTGGATTAATGACGGCTTCGACTAGGGTTTCATTGGGTAGATTAACTATGTTTAAAGATGGCGAAATGCCATTATAACATTAATGCCAAATTTTAATGAGAACCAGAAGTTAACTTCAAGGACCTTTATAATTTAATATGGGGTATGATCATGTTCTCATTATTTTAATGTAGAGTCTATTAAAATAAGTTTTATCATCTTCCATGTGATATTTGTTTTTACTCAGGCACCATTTGTTGAATGTTGACTCTATTTCTGTCACTTTGCTGGGGTATTTGAGGCATAAGACTATTTCCCTTCCTCAACCCTAACAGTGACCATGTAATCAGAAAGTGAACAAGTAGGAAATACTTCCTTTAACTTACAAAACTGAAGTCTTTGCTTTGGTTTTAAAAGAGCTATACCTCCTTCATTCATCTCCTGCTTATTTTAATTTGTAAAGATTTATTTTATTAGTGTAAGTATTTTTCTTGTATGTGTGTGTGTGGATATATATATATATATATATATATATATATATATATATATGTATATATATCAATCATATCATATTGTTACATGGTGTCTGTACAGGTCAGAAAAGCCTGGGATCCCTTGGAACTTGAGTTATGTTCAGATGATTTTGAATCACTATGGTAACTGAACCAAGATCTTCGGCAAGCGCAGCAATTTTTCTTAACTACTGAGCTATCTCTCCAGTCCCATCTAGTTTTGTTTTTTTTGTTTTTTGTTTTGTTTGTTTTGGTTGATGTATCTTTCTAGTTACCATCTCCATTTTGAGGTGATAATGCAAAGGGCTAGGGAACTGAATTTCATATGTATAGGGTTGAAGTGCATCATTTGGATGGTCCTCTCCATGTTGTTGTCCTATCTATCCATGGTGATTGCTTTGGTATCTGATAGCTGAACCCTACAAGAGTAGAACATGTGTGTTATATAACATTGGAGCACAGAAGGTAGAGAAGGGTAGTTGATAACCGGATTTTTTTCTAGAGTAGTTTTTTCTGTGCTGAGGGTGTGTAGTGATAACTTTCTGTAAAATGGAACATTTATGAAGCCCCTTTTCTTTTAAACATGTCACTTATCTGTATGTTTGTAATATAAAATAACCAAACCCAAGTACCTCCTGTTTCTTGTTCCCTTTTTTCATAATCTTGTGTATACATATATGTGAAGAAATATTAATTCCTTCTGAAGTGAAATACAGATCGCAAATAGGAGATGGAAGAAGTAAAAGATGGCAGAAGCAGAGGAGGAATTGTATGCAATAATCTATGATGGAGGAAAACCTCAAGTATTTAATTGTGGTCCAGGCGTTTCTAGTAGCTAAAGCAGAGGAGGGAAATAGAAGAACTTGGTATGGTTTTCTGATAGGAAAACACCTATCACCCATTTGCTAGAACAACCAAGCCTTCTTCTCAGTGTTAATAAGAATGACTAGCCCAGCCAATTAGATAAGAACTAATGAAACACATGATGAGTGATCCTTCATGAGGTTTGGTTTTTATAGAAAAATGAAAAAAATCAGTGCACACGTTGTTTCATTCATTAGACCCTAGAGAACCTGGTAGGAATGGTGTTAAAAGCAAGACCCCCATCACCCTTAAGAAGAGCACTTGAAACTTTTGTTATATTTACTATAGAGAAAAGATTATTTTCTTTTGACCAAGAGGCATGTGGAGCAGCAAAAAGATGCAAAGATGGCTAGTCAAAGGTAGCATTGTTAAAAGGAGAGCATAAATGAATTTTTTGTGCCAGGATGATATTTGAAAGACTCATCTGGCCTCTGGGAAGTTCTTAGATATGCCAGTTCCCTGTAACAAGAAGATCTGTCTCCGTTCTAGACAGCATATCCAATTTAGAAAATTATTATTATTTCTTCAAAATTAATGTGAACAATTTTCCCTTTGAGGCTGCCTTTTTCCATAGGTGATGTTTTCCAGATGGGCTTTGTACAAAATTCTTAATGGTTAGTATTTTTTTTTAAGAAAGAGACTTTTCTGATGTTCTCTATTTTCCCTTTCTTTATCAATCCTAGGGAAGAGAACACCAAAGGCAAAAGAGAAGAGAAACAAGAAGAAGAGACGGAAGCTGATTGAAAGAGCCCAAGAGCAGCACAGCGTCTTCCTTGCCACAGACAGAGTGAACCAATAAAATACAAGAAAAAGCTGGGGCATTTTGAGGTTTTCTGTTTTGTTTTGCTGTTGTTTTGCAAATGTGCACAAAGCTACTCTCTAATCCACACTGGTGGACAGCATTTCTGATCCTCTGACCAGTATCCATTTTCAGTAATGTTGTAAAGGGAGGTGCCCAAGCATGGACTCTGGGTTATTTATGCTTTGATTAGAATCTGGGACCTGTGATGGCAGGAGCTTGTTGAGCTGAATCAGTGTGATCTGATGCATCTGTACTCTTGTGATGAGCACAGTGTGTTAAAAGAACCTGTCCCTGGCACCGTGGACCTGCAGGAGGCACGAGGCAGTAGATCACCACTGGAGAATGCACCTGTGCTTACTTTCATGGATGACAATGCTAAGCGAGCAAGCACTGTTCACTTGTGACTTTCATTTCTCACACTATGCATTGTCAAAGACAAATGTGCATGGAAAAAATGTTTAGTGTCACCTCACGGCATTCTTAGCATCGGTGACCTTCAAATGGTCTTACAATGAGACTCTCTTCTAACTAGGGATATGCAGTGGAAATGCCTGCTACGTTTCATTCTAGTGCTAACATGTACAGATGCCGCTGAGCTACATTCAAAGGTCCTTACTGTATATTTATGCTTTCTGTGTGTAACAAGTTATACCTGATCGATAAGATGTCACTTTGTTTCTAGTGGTTCTTAACCATGGCCTGGTACATGGCTGTTCTAGTTTTGAAAATTGAGAAGCTTTTTGTTGCCTCTTGTTTTCTTTTGTTCTATTTTTTTGGAGGGGGTGGGCTGGGCTTGTTTCTAATTGTAAGTATAGGATAAGCTAGTTTGTATATAGAGTCAAATAACTGATGTCAGAGTTTCAGTGCTGATAGAACTTCCCCAGTTCATGTCACCACACACACAGAGAGAAAGCAGCATGCAGCATCTGGGCCATCAGAAGCCAAATTCCAAAAATTGATGACTTATGAAATACGTCTGAAAACAAGAAGACTTGTGTGCAGTTACTTGTATTTATTATATAATTTCCAATTACTTTTTTTAAGCTCAAAATAATCCATGACTTTGAATGATAGGTCACTTGGCAGTATTCATGGGTCACTGGGGAAGCTGCTGTCATGAAACAACCCAGAAAATGAAAAAGAAAATGGTATGGCTTCCCCCAAGTGAGAGCCATATCTTACATTTCTCCATTGAGTCGAAATCGACTACATTAGAACAGAGAACAAGATGGAAGCTTTCTAGTTGACCCACACAGCCATGGTTTCCAAAACATCTTTGTCCCCTTGGGTCAATTGGTCCTTAGGTTTATGAATTGGCAGGTTCTAAATGCATTATTTTCCTGACTGATCCAGGAGAAAATTTAGAACAAAGTAAGTTGTATAGTTTTGAGGAAACATCCAAAGCAAGGCAAAGCCTTTCCTTGCCTTGCATTGGCAAAACTACCTCTTTAGCATTTCTGTTCATTCAGAATCATCTTGCTGTTATGTATAGATGTCTTAAGCTTCATTATGAAAATATTGATGCAAGATAAGCCATATCTGAATGTTCTATTCGACTTTAGGGCTTGAACTTAATCCTAAAGTGGTCACCTCTCTCCATGTCTATTTACACTCTATTCCCTATTTGCTAAGTGGGTGGGGTCTCCTTAATATCATACTTCATTGTTATTAAGTCAATGCTTGTTATGTTTCTGGGGTGTTGTTTTTGTGCATTAAAAACTTAAAACATTGTTTTTTAGACTGTTTTTCTTTGCTTTAACAGTGCACTTAAGGGAAAGTGCTAAGCCTTACCAACACTACTGCCTACCAGTGAGTGATCAAAACCAGGAGAGATTATGTTGATATCAGTGTTTATGATACTCATTTATGTAAAATGTTATTGCATAATAGTTGAATGTGGGATTTTTCAGAACGAGGCTCCTTAAGTTTCAATCTATGTTAAGAAACCTGAGACTAATTGCTTAATCTCTGTGGGTTCTTATCTACCCATAGGGCTATGTTTTAGAGGCTACATTAGCTAAGACATGTACTACAGTTCTCCATACCCACAGATTTTAATGGACTCTACTTGACCATGCATCACAAATATTTGCAAAACATTACATCCATCTATACTGAACATATGATTTTGTCATTCCCTACACTTACTGTATTTAGAAACATTTAAACATAACACTTAGACATATTAGCTATTTTTAATATAATTTTTAGTGTAGGAGGAAGTTTGTACACATAATAAATTTTGGGAAAATATAACACCGGTTTCTATGAGAGCATCTTTGGGTTGTGGTATCTGCAGGACTTCATGGAAGAAATATCATGAGGAAACCAAAACATCCTAGTAGAGACTTTGAGTTAAGAGTTGGATGATTTTATGTATGTATGTATGTATGTATGTAATGTATGTATGTATATATAAAAATATATATGCCTCATATTATATGTATATGTATATATATATATGTGTGTGTGTGTGTGTGTGTGTGTGTGTGTGTGTAGTATGATTACTGTAGAAGTTTACCAAGTACCACACAAATTGTTACCTATTATTTCTTTCTTTGGCTATTTATATTTTCTCCCAAAACATTCTGTTAACAAACAAAATAGAATCTAAAATTGTTCATTGGTAGAGGATTTTGCTGCCATCCATAATCCTAGGTCCCATCTTTCATACTGCAGATAAGCAATGGATAAACATTTATGGAATTATCAGACACCTTCAATCTACTGATTGACTTCTAGTCATTAGCTTTATTCTAATGGGAATTTATTTACACCTACTTATTTCTGAGTTTCCTTGTTAAAACAGTACATATATAAATCTAAAACTGAACTCAGGACTCTATTTCTCACTTGGGGTGCAGTCAAGGAAATCAAACCAGCCGTTTCAAATGCACTCTGATATCAAGAATATATTAATTACACTGGTACTAAATGAGTCATGAAGTCAAATGTGTTACCAAAATAAGCCAGAGTGGAGCTATAGCAGCAAGCCATTATCATGATTGGAGGTGGGAGGAAGATTACAGGAAAAGATGGAATTTCCAAAATGTGATTATCAAGCTAATCTTTTAAAGCTTAAAGCTATAGTTGAGAATAGAGCTATAACCTAGGGACATTGGAAAGAAGGACACAACTCTTGCATAGGAGGAGTTGAAATCTCAGACATAACCTGGTAACTTTGAGAAATGTTGCAAACTCAGGAAGGAAATCCCCAGGCTTCCTCTTCCTCAGTTGCTTCTAAGAGGGCCTACAATCATCCAGACCAGTTCCTGAGCCTGGGAGCAAGGGATTCTGGGTAATGCCATGTGCCATGACACAGAAGGCTGGTCTAAGTACAAACTGGTCAGAATAACTCCTGAGGCCTGGTATAGAATTGTGCCACCATGAGCCTTTTTTCTGTTAAGTATTAATGAGAATATTCTTGGTCAAGTACAGCTCTTTGTGATTCTCATTTACTCCTGTATTTCTCTACACCTTCTAAGTAAGTAAGTCTAGTAATCCTGCTTGAGAATGCATATTTATATTCTCTCTTCCTTTTCTTTCTCTTGTCTTTTTTCTGAGGGCTAGTTTTGGACTGTACTATTATGTTCTCATCACTTATTAACATATCTAGTCTACTTCTCTTGTTAAATATTCACTTGTTCCTTATAGACCTTTAACACTATGCCCTTTTAGCACCCACTTAACCCAAGCTTCTTATATGGATTAAGAAAAATCTGAGTAAGCCGAGGTTAGGGTCAATGTCAGGTCTTTAGGGACTGTGTTTAACTTGCACTTGGTTAGTGTCTTAATTGATACTTTTTGGAATATTAAGGCAAATATGAATTCAAAAGTAGATGATTCCCACCTTAAAGCAGAATAATGGGTTGGCTAGTCAAGAAAAATGTGTACAGAATAAATATTTAAGCAGATTGCCATATGAATACGAGGAATCGTGTTAGCAAACTACCACATGCCATCTCCTCCAGCTTCAGCAAATGTTGTTGATCAGGTTCTTGACTCCAAATCAAAACACCTAGAATCCCAAAGTAGAGTTTCAGAGCAATACTTGTAAGATTTTGAAGTTGACAGATGATTAATAGCATCTAGCTTCTCTGTTACATGTTAATTCCCTGAAGAGAAACTATCATTCTCCCAGAAAATATTTATTAGAAATGGCTGCTTAAGTGTTCTCCTGTCATTATGCTTCTTGGTTTCAAAACTTCTTAAGAAGGCCTCCCAACATGATAGTATATTTTGTTTGATAGTTTGGTGTCTACTTATGTCTTATCATGACAAGAAGCTGAGTTTGAACTGTGTTTCTTTGAAGAGTAATGTCTTGTAGACAATGATTTCAGCATGCTTGTTCTCTGGGTGGTTTACTTGTACCATGAACTTTAGATTGAAGTTTGATATCATGAGTTCCTCTATGGTGGAGACAGTAGACCACAAGTCAATGGCAGGAAGGAACATGACAGGTATATTTTGACATAAAGCCTCAGCGACAAACTTAAGAAATCTTGGAAAGAAGAACCAAGGCACTAGAAAGCACCTGAAGCAATAACAGGATAGGATGGTTGAAGAAAAGACAACCAGGAAGAAATGCTAAAGTGTTTTCTAAGGAAGGTAGAACCAAGAAGAGTCAGGAGAGAGTGTAGATCCACAAAGATGGTAGAGAAAACTCAGATTCTGTTCTATATACTGGGAAGAAAAAAATCACTGGATTTTTGTCCTGCTTAAGCAGAAGAGAGATGTGCTCTAATTTCTGTATGCTGTTCACTCATCTGTGTAAAAGGTAGATTTTAAGAGGAAAAACAAAGAGATGAATTAGGTTATTGCACTAACCTGGTGAGAATCCATATGGCATTGGTTAGTGAATAGTATTAAAGAAAAGGAAGAGGGGATGGATCTAGGACCCTTAGGAGACAGACATGAAATAAAGGAACAAATGGGGCCTAAGATATCATACAGGACTCTTGTTCTGAGTAAGAATATTTAGGGGATAGTACTGGCAAATGATTGTAGTTTTCATATGCTAAGTATGAAGTGGTGTTAGGTTGCTAAGTAAAAGGAGCAAAAAGGTAGTTCATTATAATTATGTACTTTAGGGAAAAGGTCAAGGCCAGAATATAATTTGGGAGTACACTGGAATATTGCTTGTTCATTGAATCATAGACCTTCATGTGATGGCCCAGAAAAAAATACAGATGGGAGATGAAAGATTTTGGACATTCAAACCTTCATTATCAACCAGAAGTAAAGAGAAATAAAAAGGTATCCCTAGAGGAACACCAGATGCAGGTAATAATAATGACCAAGAAGAGTTGCACTGGGAATTGGAATACACACTTATAATCCCAGCATTCACAAATCTAAGAGCCTGAGGCAGAAGGATCGGGAGTTAAAGGATAGCTTCAGATGAGGCCTGTCAAGGCTACAGGGATACATCTTTAAAACAGGTGAGAGTTCTAGGCTTTATGTAGCTCCCTTCCCTTCTATTACATAGTAAAAATAATGAGAGAAAGACAATTAGAAAAAATTGTAATAACTAAAGCTTTGTGTCTCCTCAATTTTATTTCTGAACTGTATATGTGAGAGAGAAATTTACAAATAGTTTACAATCTCTTGAAAGTGGTTTTGATATAGAACCAGAAGTATGTCAATGCTTAAAACACTTGGAAACCACTCTTCACATAAATGTGATAATGATACTTAATTTCAGGTTACCATATCACCTACCAATTTCATTTACATTTATGATGAAATAATTATCTCGATGGCCCTACAAGGATTTTTTTCTTTTATTGCTTTCAAAATCAATAAAATGTATCAATTGAGCTACAAAACAAGCAGTCTGTGAATTACAGGTCCTTGAGTTTGTAATTTTCAGCAATGAGGATTTTTCAAACTTGTAATTATTGAGTTACTTTGGAAGCAACCTTCTGATGTGAGCGCATACATGTCTGAACAGAATTAGGCAATCACATGCACACAATCATAGTATTTAACTAAAAAGCAAGATTGTGGTAAAAGTACTTTCCTCCCCCCTCCATGCTTTTTTGTGTAAAATGGAACAAATGAAAGCTTTAATTACTTACATTTCAAATTTAAATTAAATAAATGTGTGATGATAGTTTCCCCATTACACATGCCTGTCCTGGATATATTCTTTCTTATATGGATAATAAGTGTGGTAAAACCTCGCAGAATTTGCCTTCTCCTTTTTGAGCAATGAGCAGCTTTCCTTTCCCCAGTCATCTTGCAGATAGATGTTCCTTGTGCCTGACTTTAATCTATAGGATTTCAGAGAAATCGTATACATCCACTTGAGAACTAATAGTTAATAACAGGTGCACCTTTTGCATGATGATTGTGCCTTGGGCACAAAGACAGGTCCATGGAGTAGAAGAAGTCTATGTCTTTCAGTTACTGTATGGAGGACAGTTGACTCAAATAGTTGCCCAAGCTATACAAGTAAATATAAACATTTGTTGTGTTGAGCCTTAATGGCCCTTCATTACTCTTGACCTTGAGTCAACACCTTCATCATGGACGTCAGAATGGTGAGAAGTACATATCTGTTCTTCAAGCCACACAGTCTTGGGTCCTCTTTCATGACAATCTAACAAGCTAACCTATGGACTTTCACAGAGATTCAGAAAGCTGTGACTCCTTTAAGGTAGTCTTACTGCCCTGGTTTCCTGATACCTTCCTCTGAATTGCTACAGTGAATATAGGTTGAAACAAAG